TAGTTGTTATGTGTCATCAAGTCAGTTCCAACTCATATTAACACTGTATAGGGTTTCTGAGGAGCAGCTGAGCAGCTGGTGGGTTTGAACTGAGGACTTAATGGTTAATAATTTAGTGTTTATCCCACAGCGCCTCACCAGAACTCAATATATGTATATGTATGGGTTTATATATGAATACATTTATAAGAGTCCTGTGTTGCCTTGAAGAATAAGGAGAATAAGTCCTGGTGTGCTGGACTGCAAGGTTGGCTGTTCAAAGTCACCAGCTGCTCCTCAGAAACCCTACGCAGGGTTGCTATAAGTCAGAACTGATTCAATGGCACTTAACAACAACAAATAGATATAGATGCAATATAGAGTTTACAAAGTCCTGGTGGCACAGTGGTTAAGTGCTCTGCTGCTTACTAGCCATTCTGTGGAAGAAAGATGTGGTAGACTGCTGTCGTAAAGATTACAGCTCTGTAAACCCTATGGGACAGTTCTACTATGACCTAATTGTTGCTATGAGGCAGAATCAAGTTCATAGCAATGGTTTTGTGTAATGTACAACTACAAAAATGTGAAATGGAAATGGAGAGTTATTTCATAATTTGTCAGTTGCACTCAGCAGTCCTTTAGTTCTTTGAGATAGATGCAATCCTTTTGATCAAATCTTTAAAAGCTTGAACCACTTGCTTGTTCCTCAGAGTATGAATGAAGGGATTCATTACTGGGGCAACTGAGGTGGTAAGCACAGAAACCACTTTATTAAGAGCTACCCCTTCTTTTGCAGATGGTTTAACATAGATAAAGATACAGCTTCCATAGGTGATCGAAACCACAATTATGTGGGAAGAACAAGTAGAGAAAGCCTTTTTCCGTTGCTGGGCTGATGGGAATCTGAGAATAGTCCTGATGATGAATGTGTAAGACATAATCACACACACTAAGGTGAAAAGGAGGGTCAACACGGCCAGAATTAAGACAAACTGCTCCAAAAACTCTGTGTCGGAGCAGGTGATCTTCAGGATGGGAGCAGCATCACAACCAAAGTGGTCTATCACATTGGAGTCACAAAACTCCAGGTTAAAGCTCATGCCAAATGGTGGGATAACGATGATCAGAGCAATCATGTAACAGCCAATAAGGAACCTGATGCAGACACTGCTGTTCATGATGGTTGTATAATGCAGGGGCTTGCAAATAGCTACATAACGGTCATAAGACATGGCTGCCAGGAGAAAAAACTCAGTTGCTCCCAGGACAACAACAAAGAATAATTGAGTGGCACATGCATTATAAGTAACAATATTGTCCCCAGATGCCATTGTGTAGAGAAATCTGGGAATGCAGACAGTGGTAAAGGACACTTCTAAAATAGAGAAATTCCGGAGAAAAAAATACATAGGTGTTTTAAGGTGGGAATCCACCAAGGTGAGAGTGATGATGGTCAAATTTCCAACAACACTCAACAAGTATGTTAGGAACAAAAAGATAAAAAGCAGAATCTGTAGATTTGGGTCATCTGTAAGTCCCACCAAGATGAATGTTGTTATTGCTGTATAATTTCTCATCACTGATTCCTGACTATGGTCTGGTCTGTGTGTAAAAGAAGAGAAATTAGATGTGAGGAAGGATTATCAACATGAGTTACCAACTGTGGGGAGGGGTGAAAATGTTAACTAAGTCAAGATTAAAGAAAAAAAAAAATTGACACCTGTTATTCAAGCATGCTATTGGAATGGCAGATAATTGACAATCTGTATTATTATTGACCATGAAATCTTGAGCATAATACTGGCAATCAATCATAAGTCCCTAGCTAAAGATTCTTATTACAATGTTGATGCTGTTGCTGTAGTTAAATGTCGTCTAGTCAGTCCGACTAGTGACACAGTGTAGGGTTTTTGAGGAGCAGCTGGTGGGTTTGAACTGCTGACCTTGTGTTTCAAACCAAACTTGCAGTTCAGTACATTATCCTGCAGCACCATACCAGGACTCCAAGTGTGGATGTAGTACTAAAACAATGGTAAAGAGGTTCTTAGATTAACAGTCCCATGTAAATTAAGATTTTTGTGTAATAATATCATCTGTGACCAAAGGTAGTTTTCTTTTTTACCTTCCAATCTGTTTACCTTCTATGTCCTCTTCTTTTCCAATTACATTAGTTTAAAAGGAAGATATTTTACATTAACTATTTTTCTAGACTGAAAAACACAATATATAGACATGTATGATTTGTAATTTCATGACCACATATTGATTCCCTGTAGGGGAACTGACTCTAGTGAAGGGTGTGAAGTTAAAATTCTGCTTTTACTTACTCCAACCCTTTTATCAGCAGCCAAGCTTGTTTTTACAACAACCAGGCATTTTGACTGAGGCTAATTGAGACCTTCAAAGATTGAAGTTGTCAAGGACTTCATTCTT